GGACGTCTTCTCAGAGTTTTGCGCGCCTAGGCGGGGCCCGCGCCGCTCGAACGTCTCCCGTGCCAACCGACCTCACGCGGGGGCCCGCTCGTCGGCGCCCCAGCAGCTGCGGTAGGTGGGTCCCATTTAACATGTGCAACATCCGATCTATTTTTACAACATCTAGATGAAACACTTGCAACATACATTTGAAACAGCTGAAACACTTGCAACATACGTTGAAATACTTGTAAAACACCAAAAAAAACTTGAAAAGCATGTGTGTAGCCATTGCAAAACATTGCAACATTTAGATGAAAACACTTGCAGCATACATATGAAAACAACTAAAACACTTGCATACATATATGCAACATCTAGATCTACTTTTGCAATATCTCGATCTACTTTTGCAACATCCAGATGAAACACTTGCAACTTACATCTGAAACAAATGAAACATTAGGAACATACACTTGAAACATATGTGTATAGCCATTGCAACATGTGCAACATCTCGATCTACTTTTGCAACATTCACATGAAACACTTGCAACGTACCTCTAAAACATCTAAAACATTTGCAATATGCGACGTATCCTGATGTGGCCTCCTCCGCCATCTACAACAGGGCGTCTGTAACACCTCTGGTGTTATGAGCTTGCTTAGCTCTGAGGTTAAGGTCTCGGGTGGGTTTAGCAAAACAAGTTTTCAGGCTAACAAGTTAAAATGCATATGAAAGGAAAAATAAATTCTGCAAATGAAAACAAAATACGACTGGTGTATAGCGCTTAGGTAGAAATGATGAGCAAATGGGGTAGATAACCTTTTGTAACTTTAGATGGTCGATATAAAAAAAATGTGTGTTGGATGAGAAGCTATTACACCACTTATGAATATCAAGTAGGGTTTAAAGCTATTTTTTATTGGACAAAAATACTATGAAACTTATACGTGGCACTGAAATAAAGTTTGGAGTTTAGCTAGCTGACCCAAACGCATCTAGGCGCTGGTGAACTTGGGAGGTGGCCAATTTGGTGTTTTGGTCGCCGTCGGCCATGGGGTTTGGGTTAAGTCCCACTCTGTGGGGAATGAACCTAATTGATGGTGTTTCTAGGCTGGTGTTGATCCCCTCGATCCGGTGCTCGCTTCTGTTTGGCCAGGGCATGCGTCGTTGACGTGCGGACGCACCGGTGTCAGCCTCGGAGCACCGCTGTGCGGTGCGGGCATACGTGGCCAGGGTTCCTCGATCGCCCTCCTCCTCAACAGATTGCACGGCTGGTTTCATGGTAATCCCCTTTCTGCTTGCCCATAGCCTCCATCGTTTCGCTAGCTCTTAGTTTCGTCGAAATGGGCGCGCCGCCATGGAGGTTACTCCGTCAGCGTGGACGGCGCGTAGAAGTCATCGTTTAGCTTCTGGTCGCCGCTTTGGGTCCCGTGCTAGCTCCGCGTTGCTCGTCGGCCCAGTGGGTGCGTCGATGTGGCTCGCGGTGGTCTGGCATGGCCGGGCGATGTCGTCCGGAGCCGCGCCGCCATGCGCGGAGGTGTCGGGGACAGGCTCAATGTGAAGATAGGTTTGTTGGGGGTGCTCATTGCATAGAGTTTCTCTAGTGTAATAGTACACAGTGGCGCCGCATAATATCCGGTCAGGCCAGGGGCTATTTTGCAAAAACGCGAGCACGTGCGCGGCTCCTCTGTCTTGGGCCACTGCTGGGCTAGCTACTGCGCGCGTGCTACGCTCCGAATGGGCCGCTGGGCCAAATTGCTAGCACCGTCCTTTTCTTTTTTCTAAAGGGGTTTTCCAAATTAGTTTCTAAGGTGAAATTATAAATTCAAGATATATTTGTGTAGATGTCTAAAAATTGTGAAACTAATTTTGCTAAGCTTCTAAAATCATGATCTATCTGTTAGTGTATTTTGTTCACATAGTTTCATAGAATTTTAAGAGTAATTTTATTTGATTTGACGCACTTAGTAATGTTAAAACATAAACTTGTAGGAATTATTGTGATGAATTGGTAGTAGCATTGGCTCTGAAAAATTTATAGTAGATTCCTAACAATATTAAGTGCTCACTGTAATTTTTGTAGCTTCTGGATAATTAGTTTGCTGAGGTAACTAATGTGCCTTAGTTTAAACATATAGTAAATAAAAAAAATAAAGAAACACCTAGAGATTTTATAACTAAAACATTGTGGGAAATTAGCGTCTTGTTAGATAACGTGGATGCGTGGCCTAGTACGTTAGTCGTCGGAGTCAGCTCGTTAGTTTAGCAGCGTAATCGTATTTTAAAGTTACGATTGGCGTGATTATTTATGTCTCTGCGTTGCATCCACAAATATCATAATTGGAACGATGATGGATCGCGGAGTCGTCTGGAGTAGCGGCAGCAGCTGGTGACTTGACGATCATGCCACCATGATAAAAAGCTAACTTGGTTATATTTTACCCAGGTAAGCCCCGGTGCATAACCCCTATTATTCTACACTTTATTTTATGCTTGTGCATTAAGTTTAAGGAGTTGAATGAAACTCACTTGCATATATATATATATATATATATATATCCTTGTCCTATGAGTCTCACTAGTATGACATGATCGCGTAGATTGCTATGCTATAGGATTCCGGTAGAAGTCGAGTGATTACCTGTCACTCGCGAGAGATAGGAAAAGATATTATTGATACTAATATCATGTTACTATCACATGAAATATATATGGATAATAATTGGAGATCGGGCGGGACTGTACTTTGGATGGACATGGACTGGTTAGGCAACTGAGCGAGGCTCTGGTTGCATTTGTCCCGTCTGTGTCGATTGAGGACCGTCCGTTGCTGTGGATGGTAGTCAGATCACAGACTTATTATCCTGAGCACATACTTGCTTATGGGAGTGGGAAGGCTTGTCACTTTCTTGTCATGGGTTCTGGCTCTTTCTGGACCGCCTTTTAGAGATGGTTTTTGGGTGAAGGTCCAAGCACCGCACTGAGTTTGGGACTCAGGTGCGGGGGCTTGGAGTCCAAGTTTGGACGAGGACCTGGACCTCTTGACAGGAGAGTGGTAAGTTGGTCTTGCTTGTGCCTGGGGTATAAGTGGGGCGTGTATTTTGGGGTACCTAGCTGGGATACATTAATTCGTGAATCGCTGTATGATACGATACGACTTGACTATGGTCTAGCACCGTAGTAAGAACTGAAACATGAAAGAAGGTAAAATAGTTCTGATTGCTTACCACCTGCTTGAAAGTAGTATAGGTGCTTACATAGAAAGGTTAGTTAAGGAACCAATATTGACTGCTAATAAAAGTTGAATATAAGGACGCACGTTTAGTAATGCTCCTACAGATGCAATCAACCCATAAGGTAGATAGCCTTGCATATCCTTGAAGTCTTTTCTTTTTTTCTGACGGGTAAGTCTTGCGGAGTACAATCGAGTACTCAGGGTTTGTTCTACCCTGTTGCAGGTGACAGGTGGATATTAGAGCTGACACTTGTATGCGGAAACCTTCTGGTGAGCTCAGCGAGGATTTCCTTAACGTTGCGGATATAGAGTTTATTTAAAACTTTCACCCAAAATATTTTATAATGGAAAAACTTATAACCTGTTATGATGTATATAACGGATCATCATGTTAATGTTTAACTTGTCATTAGATGATTTTATTTCTATTGAAACTCTGATAACATGGTTATATTCTGCTGTTATAAACAATAAATATTATACTCTGATGTTGCATGAAAAGTGATGTAAGAAATGGCTAAAATGTTGTAAGCTTTATATTCCCATTTATGATCCTATTGAAAAATATGGATTTTTGAGTTCTCCCATGGGTGTGCTCGACAGAACTGTTTTAATTAGCTCACTCTTGGGGTGTTTAGTGTCTAATAGAAGACAAGTACCTCCGAAAGTGAGTTATTTGATACCGCCACAACATCGCAGTTGTAGCAGGAGCGCGAGGCTCCTGCTATGGCTAGAGGGCTTCACTTGAGGCCCGGCGCTTCTCCTTGCACCACCTGGCGGCGTGGTGTCGACGTTGTCGGTATGAAAGCACACGCTTGATTTTGCCTCAAAGTGGATGCGATTAGCGGCCGAGGAAGTGGTCCCTAGGCATGGGCGTGGCGGTGCCTGCGCCGTCATGTGGGGCGGGCGGCAGAGCAGGAGTCGTGGCAAGGGAGGTTTGGCGGGCGTGGGGCTTTGAGCGGTGGAGGTGGCAACGATAGAGTTTTGGGGAAGAAAAGGAAGAGGACGCCATGGATAATGGACGAAGCAGGACATGGGAGGTCTTTTTCTTATCCTTATCCAGCCGGCGCATGGTAATAAAAAAACTGGAGGCCTATTTGGTTGGTCCTCAGGCCGTGTGGTGCAGCCATAGGCTTAGGAGGATCCGTCTAGACTGACGGACACCCTGCACACAGCAGTACTAAAACAAATTACACCTAAAATTACACCTAGCTAGCATTAAACATGGTTCTTTTTTTGAATGCATTAAATAGGGTACTATAAATAAACGAAAATGCTACTTTAAGAGCGCGCACGCTCCGTGACGACTACACGCACGAGGTCTTTCCTCCCCCCGCGCCCATACGGACTCCTCTCCCCGCCTCTCTCTCTCTCATCGGCGATGGCGACCCGGAGGCGTCCTCCCCATGCGCCGCGCCCCATCGGCTGCCCGTGCCCGCTCCAACGCTCCATCGCCTCCCCCACGTGTGGACATGCTGGATCTGGTGGCGGCGGTGCCGGATCCGGCGGCGGCGCCGGATCCGGTGGCGGCGGGGCCAGGTAGGCCTCCTCCTCCTTTCTTCTCTCTCCTCCTGGATTGGGCTAGGGTTTCGGTGAGCTAACCCCCTTCTTCACCAACTTCGGTGGGGTATAGAATGGCCGGCCGGTGGGAGGTAGGTAGGCCAGGCGGTGAGAATGGTGGATGGGAGGCTTAGAGGAGCTGGCGGCGGTAGGGGTGGTCGGGCCATGTCGGGGCGGGGAGGAAGATGGCGGCGGGCGGGCTCGCCGGAGCTAAAGAAGATGGCGGTGGGCGAGCTCGTCGGAGCTGGAGATGATGGCGGCGGTGGGGGAGAGGGGAGGAGGGCCGCCGCCGCGGGCGCTAAGGTTCGCCGGAGTGGCGGTGGCTGGCGGCGGGGGCGAGGGCGTTGGAGTCAGGGAAGAGGGCTGCTGTGGTTTTTTTTCTTTGGCTAAAAACTAGTGTCCCACGAGGTGTGCGCGCGGAACCTCTAAATACTGCGCGAGCATGCTTTAGCAAAGTTCATAAATAAATGAACCAAACCCAAGTGCTCACGTCGTCCAAAGGTCATCCTCCAGCCCAGAGCCTGCCCTCCAAGCGCAACATCCATTTTAGATGAGTTGGGCCGCCCGAACGATGGAAGAAGGGTGGGAGTAGGCCCAACGGTAACCGTAAACCCTTCTCCTTTCGGTTTGGCTTGTCTCTTCTACCCAAATCCCAAAAATTCCGTTTCCCCACCGCAAATTTCAAAATTCCCACCCACCCATCCTTCCCCATCTCCAGTCAAGCGCTTTCTCCAGTCCAGTCCCCACCCCGTCGATCTCGCCCCCATCCCATGGACGCCGACGAGATGGACGTCGACCTCGACAGCGCCGGCGGGATCGGCTCCCCACCCTCGGCCTCCCCCGCGTCCGCCTCCGGTTCCCTCCCCGCCGTCCTCTCCGAGCTCGCCGCCCTCCACCGCCCCGCGTCCTCCTCCTCTGCCACCTCCCCGCCCTTGTCCCTGCCCTCCATCACGTTCCTCTCCTCCGGGCCCCGCCGCCGTCGCGTCCATCTTCCCCCGCCTCGCCGAGGCCGGCGTCCCCCTGCGTCCTCCTTGCTGCCCCGCTCGAGGCCTCGCTCTCCGCGCACCCGCTCCCCGCCGCCGTCGCCTACCTCCGCCTCCTCCTCGCCCCGGCCTCCCCGCTCCTCACCCTCTTCTCCCCGCTCCCCTTCCTCTCCCTCCTCCTCGCCATCCGCAAGGCCGCCGCCGCCGCGGCCGCCTCCGGCGCCGGCAGCGCCGCCTCCAACCCTAGCTCCGGTTCCGGCGCCGCCTCCAACCCCCGCAAGCGCAAGAACCAGCGCCAGAAGCCGCCGGCGGCCCCGCGGGCGGCGCAGTCGCTGCTCCCGAAGGCGCTCTCCCTGCTCGCCGACGCCGCGGGGAGGCTGCCGCTCGGGGCCCACCCGGACGCGCGGCGGTCGCTCGTCGACACCGCCGCGGAGCTCGCGGCGTTCGACGTCCTCGCCGCCGTCCTTGGATCCGACTACCACGCCGGGGCGGTGCAGGACGTGATACGCGCGCTGGCCCCGGTGGTGCTCTCGGCCACGAAATCCGCGGCACGGGTGGCCGCGGTGCAGTTCCTCGTGAGGAAGTTGGTGCCTTTGGGTGGCGAGGAAGGGGAGGAAGCAGTTAGGAAGGCAGTGGGGTACCTTCCTAGGTACTTGGCCGCGAAGGCGCCGGACAAGGCGGAGGCCAGGGCACTGGCGGTGGAAGCCATAGTCGAGGTGGTGCGGGCATTGGAGGCAGAAGTAAGGGAGGGATTTGCAGGGTATGTTGTGGCCATGGCAAGGGGCAAGGCAAAGGGACGACTGCTTGCTGTGGATTTGGTCCTCGCCTTGCTCCCAGTGCTGTTACCATCTGAAGGGGATGACTGTGATACAGAGGACTCTTGGGGGCTGAAGTTTCTGCGGCTGTTGGTGGAGAGGTGCTCAGATAGCGTGGGAGGGGTTCGAGCTCGGGCGTTAACGAATGCAGCCCAGGTGCTTGATGTTTTGTCTGAGAGAGGTGTGGAGGTTGACCGGTTGCAGGAGGTGATGAGGATTGGGGACATGGGGCTTGGGGAATTGCTGAGACGACGCTGCACCGATGATAAGGCTGCTGTGAGGAAGGCTGTGCTTGTGCTCATCACAAAGGCAATCGGTTTGATTGGGAGACCCATGGATGAGTCTCTTCTTTGTGCAATGGGCACTGCATGCTCTGATCCATTAGTCAGCATCCGCAAGGCTGCTCTTGCTGCCATCTCAGAGGTGTTTAGGAAATTTCCTGATGAGAAAGTGATGAAAGAGTGGCTTCAGGCTGTGCCTCCACTGGTGATTGATAGTGAGACAAGCATCCAGGAGGAATGTGAAAACCTGTTCCTTGAACTGGTGCTTAACAGGATCTGCCAAGCTGCCAAATCGAAACTAGATGATGATTCCATCACCTTGGAGGAAGTTTTCCCTGAAGGGACACTGGAATTGCTGAAAAGCATCTGTGATGGAGAGGTTGCTCCATGCATAAAGAAGATATGTGCAAGCCTTGGGAAGAAGAAGAAGCTGAAACCACTACTTGCTAGCTCACTGCAGAACATCATAACACTATCTGAATCCTTGTGGTCGAGAAATTGTAAGCCAATCGAAAATTGGACTGCACCTATTGGGTCCTGGTGGCTTCTTTCTGAAGTCTCATCATTCGCGTAAAAATCAGTTGACTGGAAGTTCCTCTCCCACCACTGGAAACTCCTTGACAATGTTGGCCAAGACGACAGAGGTAAAGCTTGTTCTCAAGTGGAACCAAACTCTGCGCTCTGGGCAGTCAATCGTGTGTCACTCTTGCAAACCATTTCAAATGTCTCCATGGAGCTGCCTGTGAAACCTGCAGCAGAATTGGCACAGAGCTTGCTCACAAGGATTGAGGATTTTGATATGAACCTGAGTGAGGTAATCAGTTTGTCGATCCAAAACAATAGTGAGTAGTACACTAATTTGTTTTTGCTACAGTTAAATTTTGAGTTAGCATGGCATTATGTTTTAACAATACGAGATCATGCTTAATCTGCCAACTAAAAACAATATTAAATCTACTGCACTTTATATAGCGTGCCCTAATCCTATTGCCCAATCTGCCAAAACCTGGCAACATGTACTGTTCTGAAGATTTTTTTGGGTAAATCATAACGTTTGGTATGGTAAATCTAGGCCAGCATTTCATAATTATAAAATGAAAACTTAGGTTCACTGTGCTTGCCAGTGTTGGTATTATAACGATCAGCAATATTTTCTGGTAGGGCGGTCCTTCTAGCTTAGGGCATGTTTGGATCCAGCTTGCTAATAGTTAGCAACTGAGAATTAGCAAGAGTGGATCCAAACAGGCAAATGCTAAAAGGTGTGATAGCTACTAGTAAAAACTAGTAAGGTTTTGGTTGCTAGCAAGTGCTAAGGATTAGCATGCTAAAATTAGCACATCCCAACAGAGCCTAGCTGAAACCTCCGTGCAGTCACAATATATTGTTTTAAGGCCTGCTTGTTACCTGTTTGGAATCTAATGACAAGAATTCAAGATTATCCAGAAACTTTGCTGTTTAGATCATTGGTTATCCACATTTTCCCCTCCCCATAGGCCATAGTTCTGCAACAATGTTCATCATGCATTCATCTTATCTTTTTCCTTGATATAGGCTTCTGTGTGTTGTTGGTTTCACTATCTACAATTTTGCCAAAATCGCTCTTAACAGAAGTAATTCATGTCCATATCTTGAGCATAATTTTTATGCATGCATAAACAGGTTGATGCGCATGTAAAAGCACTGAAAACTTTATGTAAAAGGAAAGCAAAATCAGCTAATGAGGGTGATGCACTGATCCTGAAGTGGGCGCAGCAACTTATCTGTAGTGCTTTTGACATCCTTGACCAGTACATAAAAGAGGCATCCGAATCAGCCAGGGGTCACAGTTTCGTTACTCCTATGACTGGCAAACGCAAGGGAATGAAACAGACATCTGCATCAAAGTCAACATTACGTGCAGTTGTTGCTGTGTTCACTGTTGGATCACTGATCCTAGCTTGTCCTACTGCTGATGTGAAGGACATCACCCCTTTGCTACACACAATTGTAACTTCTGGAAGTTCTGAGCCAAGGCCAAAAAACCTTGTTGGTGGGACCATTTCTTTCAAAGAGTTAGCTCCATCATTATATATACAATCGTGGGATACATTAGCAAAAATATGCCTTGTAGATGACAAAGTGGCCAAACGGTACATTCCAATTTTTGTTCAGGTACGTACTCTGCACAGGTCTCATGATTACTCTTAACAGATATACAGTCAATGTTGCTTCTATGAATCAGGAGCTTGAGAGGAGTGATATGGCTACCCTTCGGAATAATATCATGATTGCGATGGCAGACTTCTATATCCGTTATACTGCATTGGTTGACTGGTGAGCTTATATTTCTTCATTCGTATACACACTGATTAATATCACTATCCTTCCAGAATTTGTCACTGTCTCTTGCGAGCAGATGCATGTTCCTGTATATCAGAATGTGTTTTCCAGACTCTTTTTCCCTCAAGAAAAATGAATGTTGCTTATAGTCACACTTCACAAAATTTATAAGGTCAATTTTTTCCACCTTTGCAATGTTAAGACAATCGGCTGATTCTGACAACTCTTTGGTGAATGAAACGTGGCTAATTTGTTTCCCTCTGTTTTCCTTTTTTTGTGTATCTTTCCATTTTCTAAGTTAATGGTCCCAATGAATGATCATATATATTAATCCATTTAATTCTGATTCTGTATGTTTCCCCAAAAGAAAGTTGAAAAGATCTCTCTCTTTTTTTTTTAAAAAAAAGATTCTATCAACATGCTTGAATTCTTGTCAGATGGTATTGGAGAGGAAGCTATTAGTCTGTTACTATATTGGCAATTAAGGTTAATGATGTAAAACTGTCCTCCCATATGCTAGTTGTTATGTGGCTTCCAGAAATAGTAAATAGATTTTTGTCAAGACTATTTTATCAGTTATGTTTCACAGATTTATGAAGAAGATATTTCATATATTTATTTTTCCAATTAGTTAAAGTCTTATTTGCACATGTGTTTAACTGATCTCTCCTTTATGATGTTTCTGCAGTTACATGTCAAAAATAACAAAATCACTCCGTGATACCTGTGAAGTAGTACGGAGACAAACATTTATCCTACTCTCTAAGTTGCTGCAGGTGCTAATCACTTCTGTAATGCTTTGTTTTGAATATTGGGTCATGGTTACTGAGATTGCTATTTTGTCCAGAGGGACTATGTAAAGTGGAGAGGGTTCTCTTCCTTGGTTTCTGCCATCTTTAGTTGATGAGTCTGAGAAGATTAGGCATTTGGCTGATTACCTTTTGGGAACATCTTAAAAGGTACTTATTTTTTGTACTAAACTTTTCTTGTTTTATGAAGTCACTGGTTAACATCTGCTTAAATTTTGCAGCTAAAGCGCCACTCCTTGCATATAATAGTTTTATTGAAGCTATATATGTTCTAAATGATTGCACTGGACATGGTGTATATAGCGACTCTCAGTCTCAGGGAAGTTCAGATGGAAGACCTGCCCTTTTTGCAATTCGGTAAAACAACTCAAACTGTTCTCCTTAGTCCTTGCAAGGAAGATGCTTCATTCCTAGCTTTCATTTTTTTTTTGCAGTGGCACTGACGAAAGATCGAGATCAAAACGAATGCACATTTATGTCTCTTTGCTGAAACAAATGGCACCAGAGCACCTTTTAGCCACGTCGGCCAAGTTATGTGCTGAGATCTTGGCAGCTGTTTGTGATGGATTGCTCAGTGTTGATGATGCTGGTGGAAGGGCTGTACTTCAGGTGGGGATCAATATCTTCAGAACTCAGATGGTTTTATGCTAATATGAAATGAGAAAAGTATCTTGGATATCCAGTAGTAGATACAACCATTGACATCGATGAGTGCTTATAGCCTGATTGTCACTTGACTGACCTGCAATGTGCACATGCAGCCTGGGTTTTTGATTCATGCTTATGGTACATGCTTAGTGTGTTAAATGATTAATTACGAGAGCTAAATAGCCTTGTATGCTGCTATTTTTCAATAGTTTTGATGATTTAGTTTTTCTCAACAGGATGCTCTGCAGATACTGGCTTGCAAGGAGATGCGCATCCACCCCAACATCTTGTCAGATAATTCCGAGATGGACGAGGAAGGCGGCGAGGGGGGCAACGGCCAGCGCGCTCCTGGCGGCCAAAGGGAGGGCGGTGACCCAGGTCGCGAAGAAGAACCTGATCCAGATCGCAGTCCCGATCTTCATCGAGCTGAAGCGGCTGCTGGAGAGCAAGAACAGCCCGCTGATCGGGTGCCTGATGGAGTGCCTGCGCGCCCTGCTCAAGGACTACAAGAACGAGATGGAGGAGATCCTGGTGGCGGACAAGCAGCTCCAGCGTGAGCTCCTCTACGACATGCAGAAGTACGAGGCAGGCAAGGGGAAGGGCAAGGCTGCCGCGCAGGCCGAGGCCGAGGCTGGTCCCAGCGGCACCGGCAGGTCCCCTGCTGGTGAATCTGCGAGAGCCACTGTCAGGTCGGTGCTGAAGGAGGTGAACCTGAAGGCGCCGACGCCGCCGCTGCACTCGATGAGCGTGCCCAAGGTGAAGTCCATTCTGGGCAGTGCTGGGCCGGGCTCTCTGCGCCCCGATGTCCTGGAGTCGGTCAGGCGGCTTCAGCCGTTTGAGTCGGACGATGAGAGTTAGCATGCGTCCACTTTGATGGCAGTTTGTTTCTGCTGTTGACTTAGGTTGGTCTTGTCTGGTGTTCGTTTTAGTATGATGACGACGACCGAGTAGGTGATTAAGGCGTTAAGCTCATTTTCTCAATGAGGCTTTCGCCGACTTGCACTGTATATATAATAATTACATATTCTTGTAACCCAACAATGAGAACTCTGTCCTTAAATATAAAGGATCTGGAGTTCAAAATTGTATTATGAGTCCTTATACTCCTCTCCTGTGTCTTTTTTAGTAGAAAATACTGATATTCCTTTTAAACATGACATTCATTCAAATCAGTCAGCCGGTGACCAAAGAAAGTAACAACTAAACTACTCTGTCCAATCTTTTTTTTTTATTAGTGAGAGGTAAGATGATTTATTTTTGTTAGAATTCTTATTTTGTTTGAAATTTACTTGAATACTTGAACGGACTATAGAACGGTAATGCGCCAAAAGAGACGAACAAAAGAAGGCCACGCAAAACAAGGCTCCTAACCTGTCAAAACAGAAAAAAAAAACACTTAACATCTTCTAGCAATAAGCGCCGATAGGTGTTTTGCTGCCGCCATGATCCATTGTTCAATTTAGTTCATGATCTTGCTGATGAGTTGTGAGGATGACACTTCCACGTGGTTGAAATTCTCGCATTTCTTTTGGAGAGGATGAGCACGCAGCACTACCATCCGCCGGTCCCCAGCGATCCCGTCCGCTGCCCCCCTGGCACGCCGCGCGCCCAGTCCGCTCGCCCTCAGCTCGTCCCCGGCCGAACGATATAAAACACTTTAACATAAAAAATATTTGAATGCAACATACGTCTAAAAATAGATAAAATATTTGGAGCATACACTTTCAACATATGTGTGAAATATATGAAACATCCAAAATTACAATTTACAACACGAAACCACTTGCTGCAACATAAGATTAAAACAGCTGAAACATTTAAAAATACTGTTGCAACAACATCCAGATAAAAAAACGATTGCAACATATGTCTAGAAACAAATAAAATATTTTGAACAAACGCTTGCAACATGCTTCTGAAATACTTGCTACATATGCAACATGCAACATCCCCAGATCTACTTTTGCAACATCAAGATGAAACAATTGCAACATACAACTAAAATATTTGGAACACTTAAAACATACATATGTAACATAGGGGACGGGAAGGCCGGGGCAGCAACTGAGAAATCGGGCTTCGAACAGCACCATGGTGTGGCAGAACCACCTGAAATAACACACTTATGGAGGCGCTCGTCTTCCATCAGGCACTAAGCACCCCGAAAGCAAGCTACAGCGGGCGGTATCCGTCGGGCACACCCCAAGGAAGAACCCGAAAGATCCACATTTTTTCCAATGATCCAATAATAAGAACGAGTTACAATACTTCATACATTTCATACATCCAGAGTTCTTAGAAATTCATTGTTACATTGCTAAATATCAGAGTGCGGAATATTAAACAGCGGAATAAAAATAAATATCTAGCGACAAGGATCCGTTTGTACTCACCAGAAAAATCCTTCACACAATGGTACTCCTCAAACATTACCTGCAACAGGGGTAAATAAACCCTAAGTACACAATGTACTCCAAGACTTATCCGTCTAGTGGGAATAGCTTCCCGACTCCAAGAGATATGCAAGGCTTTATGGGTTGCTGGTTTTCTTTTTGCAGAAAACAATACTAATAGTGGGTCTTTATTTATGTTATTATTAATAGCCGTATTATTTTCTTATCTATCCATTTTATGTAAGCACCTGTTCTACTTTCAAGTAAGACTTGAGCAATCAGTTCTATTTCATCATCTTTCATCTTTCAGTTCTTACTACGATGCTAGAGTTAAGACAAGCCGTACCGACTGGCGGCGATTCGCGAATCAATGTCCCCAGCTGGGTACCCCAAAAACACATGATCCGCTTGTACCCTAGGCATAAGTAGGACTAACCCATCACCCTCCTGTCAAGGGGTCTAGGTCTCCGTTCAAACTTGGACTCCAAGCCCCCGCTTCTAAGTCCCAGACTTAGTGCGGTGCAAGGACCTCCACCATCCCCGCCTCCAATCAGTCGGTCCGAAAAGAGCTGGAACCCACGATAAGAGAGCAACAAGTCTTTTCTACGTCCATACCTAAGTATGTGCTCGGGATAATAGATCTGTGACTTGCCTAGCGTCCATTGCAACGACCGGTCTGTCGATGGGGAACCCTACGGGCCCCCATAGACCATACTGCAAGGAGGTAGGCCTTGGTAACAAGGCCCATAGCCCAATCGCCAAGAAGAACGCGGAGCAAAGCAACGTGCAAAACCGAAACTCCAACGCAAACTATACAAAGAAAGGCGCCCGAAGCGTAGCTTAGGACTCTGACCTTGTATCCGAATAGGACACAAACAACGCCTCTCAGCGCCTGGACTATAAAGGGCTGGTGAGGGTACCCATTGTAAGAGGAGAATGCATACCCGATACTCAAATCAATACAACGCAAACAGGCTAACGCCAAAACTGGACGTAAGGTTATTACTCGACCAAGTCGAGGGCTCGAACCGAGATAAATCGTGAGTCTCTTTGCGTAACCACCGAATTCCGCTATTCGCCGAAGCCCGAACAAACATCCCAGGTACCCCGTGGCGAGCTATCGGTGGTAAAACATCGGCAATACCAAGCGCGCGCTGTAGGGGCTTTCGGCGAATTTTTTCTCGAGTTGGCGGACCTCAACCTCAAGATGACCTTTTCGGCGGAACAACCTTTGTCTTCGGATCCACGGATGCGCAAGGTCGACGGCGATGACAACAAGTTTCGTACCCGTCTCCAGAAGAAAAATAATTCGATGACGAAGTTCAATACAAACTCGTCGAGAAGATGACGAAACTCTCAACCGGATACAACTCGGAATAAGGAAGAAAGCGAATCTGAAAACCGACTCTAAAAAGAGATACAACCCGATTCTAAGACAATCTTCACGGCACAAGAAGCGAAGCCTAATTGGACTCGGAGACACAACAACGATCGTGAAGGGATACGACCCGTACAACTCAAAGAAGAACTTGGGAACTTACTGATTTGCAAGAACGCAGCATCGATCTATCAAAGACTTTACCCAAAACAAGATGGACTTAGCAAGAAGAATACTCCTAGAGGGAGCACAAGAAGGGATGATCATGACAGTTACCCCATAAGATTGTGTGGTGCATTGGCCAGGTTCTTTCACCTCAAACAAAGCCCAGACTCGCACGCGCGTTGAAGAACTACCTTATCAAGAAGAAAAGAACTGGATCCATTTCGAAGCTACTGAACGGCTCAACCAAAGCGAAGGATGGAATACCGTACAAGAAGAGCTCGGAAGAGGTATATTGTATACATGGCGAAAGCAGTTAGAACAACCTTTGGAACCACCACAGATACGGATATAAAATCTTGGACGAATCAAAAGGCAACATCTCGCTTGAGATGAGAAAAGCGATAGCAACGAAAATGATGAGCAAAGACTAGCAAGGCTAAAGAAGAACAAATTGAAAATTTGGAAGGAGGAATCGGGCTAAACAAAGGAAGCAAGTCTAGAATAAATACAAAGCGGAGCTAACGGAATAATACGAATGTAAAGAAGGCGGAAAAAGAAGCCACAAAAAATACAAAAGGGAAAGAATTGAAGAACTAACAAAGGAGTTGTACACCCTCATGAATAACGGGAAAGCAAAGGAAGAGCAGAAGAAAGAAGTCGGGGGATCAGAAAAACAACCCGACGAAGAAGTTCCACAGAGCCACAAAGGAGCGACCACCCAAAAATCGAATTTTCAAAGGATAGGACCCAGAGAAAGTGCTGATATCAATGGAAGGAAGGAACACTACTCAAAGCAACAAGAAAGAGACAAACCAGAATTGAGCCAACGCTACCAAGAAATATCAAGAAGATTTGACAAAGAAGATGACTACGGAGAGTCTGAGTTAAAAGAAGACATGTCTTATTACAGAAGGACAAGATCGCCAGATTACGGAAGAACGGAACCATACGACAGATTCCCTTGTTTCGCAGGAAGACTACAAACTTTAAAGCTACCGCACAAGTTTAAACCAGCAAATCATTCCAAGTATGATGGCAAAGTCGAACCAAGACAATGGCTAAGGGTTTACTCCCAATCTATTGAATTAGTTGGAGGAGACGACGACATCAAGGCTCTATTCTTCCCAATGGCCCTCGAAGTAATGCCGCTACAATGGTTTGACAAATTGAGGCCAAGATCAATCAGGTATTGGGAAGACTTGCAAGAAGCTTTCTGCAACAACTTCGCAGGCATTATTACCCATCCAATGACTGCAGCCGAATTGAAAGGAGTAAAGCAAAGGAGAGGAGAAAGTCTAAGGGAATACTATAGAAGATTTAGAGAATTCAGGGCTCAAGTCCAACATTACTGATAGGGAGGTGATAGAGGCCTTTGCAGAAGGAATCTGGGCAAATTGGCAATACAAGGACTATTTCAATGAGAACCCAAGAACAAATGAAGACTTCAAGAGGGTTGTTGAGAAGCTAATTTTGTCAGAAGAAAGAACTCGGCACAGATTTGCTAGGGACAACCCAAAGAATAGAAGACCTGATTACAGATAGCAAGACAAAAGACCAAGGCAGGACAATATGGTGGCAACCACAGACAACAAAAGAAGATACAATGGCAATGGCAATGATAGCAATGGTAGCAATCACAATGGCAACTACAACAATAGCAACAACCGTAACAACAGCAGTTGCAACAGTAATAGCAACTATCAGAGTAACAACTACTGAGGAAGAGCACCGGAAAACATAGAAAACATGCCGTGTCACATACACCCAAGGGCCAAACACAAGTTAGTTGAATGCAGCACTTTTCAACGGCAATTCATGAAGAGAGAAAACAGGAATCAAAACAACTCAGAGCCAAAGCAAGAAGAATCCAAGAAGGAGGAAAAGAGAGCTGAAGGAGATTATCAAGAACCCCAACGCCAATT